CCCAAGACGGCTTTTTGCACGGGAAGAGGTCTGTGGCAATTTAAAGTCCTATGTTTTGGTCTTTGCAATGCCCCTGCCACATTTGAGCGCCTAATGGAGAGGGTACTGGAAGGCATTCCGCGGCAGCAGTGTCTGGTGTTTTTGGACGACATACTGGCACATGGGAGCTCATTCCATTCAGCTATCACAGCCCTGAGGGTGGTGCTGGAGAAAATCAGAGCAGCGGGTCTGAAATTACATCACAATAAATGCCGGCTGTTAAGCAGAGAGGTGACCTTCTTGGGGCATCACATTGACAGTAAGGGGATTGGCACAGCGGAAGACAAGGTCAGAACTGTACGGGAGTGGCCTATCCCGGTGAGTCAGAAGGAGTTAAAAAGCTTCTTGGGTCTGGCATCCTATTACAGGAAGTTTGTATGGGGTTTTTCTTGTATTGCTGCCCCCTTATACAAGCTCCTGAAGAAGGATCAGTGCTTTGTCTGGTCAGAGTGCTGTCAAAAGGCTTTTGATACTCTGAAGCAAGCCCTGGTGTGCGCGCCCATTCTGGCACCTCCCGATCCCCAACTGCCCTTCTTTCTTGATACAGATGCAAGTGGGGATGGAATAGGGGCTGTTTTGTCCCAAGTGTGGCAAGACAGAGAAAAAGTGGTAGCATATTTCAGCAAGGTGCTAAACAAAGCTGAAAAGAGGTATTGTGTCACACGACGAGAGCTGTTGGCCACAATCTCTGCCATCAGGCACTTTAAGTACTACTTGTGCGGTCGGCACTTCACCATACGCTCTGACCATGCCTCCTTGCAGTGGTTGATGACTTTCAAGGAACCAGAGGGCCAGGTGGCTCGTTGGATCGAGGAATTGCAGAGTTATGAGTTCACCATTACGCATCGTGCAGGGGAACGGCATGGTAATGCAGACGCCCTGTCGAGACGTCCATGTAGTATGCAGGAATGCAGGTATTGTGAGCGCAGAGAAGCCAGAGAGTGGGAGCTTAGCCAGAAAGTGGATGGTAGCAATGGGCCTGAGCCGGTCTGTCGGGAGCTACAGGAGGTGGATATCACTCAATGGGCAGAGAACCAGACCTACAGCCTGTGATCCTCTGGGTAGAGGCACAGCAACGACCACCATGGGAGGAGGTAGCAGCCCTCTCCTCATTCACCAAGGGATTGTGGGCCAAGTTCAAGTGTCTACGGTTGACAGAGGGGGTCCTCCAGCGAGCATGGGTGGTGCCAGCGACAGGAGAAAAAAATATGGCAAGTCGTGGTGCCTGGGGACATGCAAGAGGCAGTGTTGAAGGCTATGCATGGCTTTGCCGGGTCTGGCCATTTTGGGGTGACGAAAACACTTCGGTGTCTGCGTCAGGCCTTCTACTGGGGACGCCTGAGGCGTGATGTAGAGGACTTCTGCAGGCGTTGCGATCTTTGTACAGCACGCAAAGGGCCGCAGGGGAAGTCTAGGGCCCAACTGCAGCAGTTTCTGGTGGGGGAGCCGATGCAGCGGGTGGGGGTGGATGTCATGGGGCCATTTCCTTGCACCACACAGGGAAATCGCTTTGTCTTGACTGCTATGGATTACTTTACGAAATGGCCTGAGGCCTTCGCACTGCCTAACCAGGAGGCTGAGACTGTTGCCAATGTCTTGGTGGAGGGCATGTTTAGTAGGTTTGGGGTCCCCCAGTGTATCCATAGTGATCAAGGCAGAAACTTTGAGTCCAAGGTATTCTCTTCCATGTGTGATCGTTTGGGAATCAACAAGACCCGCACCACCCCACTCCATCCCCAAAGCGACGGGCTCGTGGAGCGATTCAACAGGACACTAGCTGAACAGTTGTCCATTTTAACATCAACTCATCAGCACGATTGGGACACCCATCTGCCACTGGTCTTAATGGCATGTCGCTCTGCTATTCAGGACTCTACTTCATGCACACCAGCCCTGCTCATGTTGGGTAGGGAGATTAGAACCCCTGCAGAGTTGGCCTTTGGGCGGCCCCCTGATGCCCCTCCTGTTCCAGCTGGACCCGAATATGCTAGACAGCTCCAGGACCGCTTGGACTCTGCCCATGCATATGCCAGGAGGCAGCTGGTGACCGCAGGGGTGCGGCAAAAAAGAGCGTATGACCTGTATGCTCGGGGGTGCAACTTTGGGGGTCGGAGAGCTAGTTTGGGTTTACAACCCAGTTAGGAAGAGAGGAAGGTGCCCTAAGCTGGATAGCCACTGGGTGGGACTATGCCCGATATTGGACAAGCTGGGGGAGGTGGTGTATCGAGTGCAGTTGCCTTCTCGGGGGCGCAAAGTGGTACTGCATCGTGATAGGCTGGCCCCTTACCGGGGCACCGCGACACCAGAGGGTGTCACAGTACTTCCTTCACAAAACAGTGAGACTCAAAGGGGGTCAGAGGGGTTAATTGGACCAGCTGATATGGCCAGTAGTGGTCAGCAGGTGACACTGATGCCCGACATCCCTCAGGGTGATCATTCGCAAGGCTCAGAGGAAGCGGCACCTGGAGTCAAAAATCACATGCTCCTCAGGGGGCGTCCTAGGAGGGAGAGGAGAACCCCAGTCAGATTTAGAGACTTTGTCCTCGGGGTCGAGGACTTCAGTTAGAGGGGGGTAGTGTAACGTGTTCAAAATGCTGTTCTGTTACAAATAAGGATGCATTTAATGTTAATGTTTTACTTTATTCGTTTTATGTGATTCGATTGATTCGTTGTCAAGTTGAATATGGAAAGAGGCTCCACCCCTTGTGAGAGTGATGGGGAAATCTGGGGAGGAGGAGGGGAGAAGAGCGCCTCGCGGGTTCAAGTGCGGTTCTCTTATAAGTCGGGTGTGTATGGCGTGGGCTGTGGCCGACAACAGCCTCTAATAAACACCCTTTGTTATCAAAACCGTCTCGTCCTTGCCTGAGAACGTTACAATATCTTCCTCACATTTAACCAGGATGACAACTCCAGCAGCCAATCAGAGCTCTGGAAGATGGTTAGGCGTATTTGTGACTTCTCTCTAAAGTCCAATGTGTTCAAGGACCAGAAAAACAAATTGTGCTGCATGAATCTACATTTACAGTTTGCTATTCAAACACAACCCTAATGCAGTGATTAGAGATCGTTCCTTCATGAGCATTATAAGCAGGGTTCTAAATTAACTTTTTTGATCACCAGCCAATGTGGATGGTAACTTTCTAAAGTTACCAGCCATTTAGAATTTCCACTAGCCAAATTTTTTCCGGTGAAAATAAGAGAAATTATGAGTGCCACTGAATGCATTTGATAATTTTATTAACATTGTTGGCATGAAAAACACATATAAAGTACAATACAAGACAGAAAGTGCAAACATTTCATTTCAAGTTTGGGATCTATCTATATTAGGGATGTGCACGAATATTCGAATTTTCGCTCTGTAATTATTATTAAAAAAATAAAATACTAATACTCATACTTTTTTTCTTCAAATTTTTTTTGCAGTTATAATTAAATGCACTGGGTGGAGCATTTAACAAGTGGATTGTGTTTTTGATCACATAATGTCGTTGTCTGCCTCGCGAAGTTTGGAATTACTTAGATGAAAATGATAGCCTATTACAAAATGGAATTACGTTTAATCAATTATTAATTATTATTAGTATCATAATATCACCACCACAATGAGAAATCACATGAAATCCAAAGAAACAGCAGTCGACTGAGGAAGCAGCTGTCCATCACTGCATTAACGACTGCAGGTCAGCAGCTGTACCCCGATATCTTCTGGTAGCAAAATGATTTTGACATATGCTTCCTTTAAGTTTCGTTGAGGGAGACAGGTTTAAGAACAGAAAACGCAAAGTGCTGTTACTTCACTTTCCACACACACACACACACACACGCGCGCACGCGTCTCTGCAACGCTTGTGTGTCAGCGCAGCGCGTTTTCTCACTCGAGCATGTGGATATTATTGTTTTTCTCAACATGAACGTGAAACAATATAAACACGATAATCATTATGCTGACTGGAGTATGCTGACTACGTTCTGTACGATAACTGCGCAGTCTGCTTCTTTCTTTTTTCTTCTTTTTTTCCCCGTTTGCGCTGCCTGAGCTTAAATGCTTTTGTTGTTTATATATTTTGTTTACACATATTGTTTAATGTTTTCAACTAAAAGAAAACCTTAAGATATATAGTAAGCTTGTTGTGTATAGGCTATTGCCTAATGTATAAGCTTGTAAGAAATAATGACAAAAACCTTAAACTTAAAAAAAATAACGTAGGCTATCTCTCGTTAAACGACATTTAAATTTAAACCCAGAAGTCTGTCCCAACCACCGCCGCATTTAGTTTAATCTTAACTTTTTACTTTAGCTACTTTACTAGCTCCCTCCTCTTTCAGTCTGCTCCCTGCTCTGGCTCGTTCTTCATCTTCCTTGTGTTTTCTGGTGGACGGACGCGTACGCTCCGTTTGTTTCCATGATCATTTCTCGCGCTGGTTTCACTGCAAACTGCGCGCAGCCAATGGGCGTATGAAACGTCATCACGTAGCATTACGGCACAGTGTTTATGGGAAATGTAGGAAGTACTGCCAGGGGGATAAATGACCGAGAACAGAACCTTATGCATCACCGGCCAAACTGGCTAGTAAGTTTTTATTAACAGCCGGCAAAATGAATTTTAACCCGCATTTGGCGGGTTGGCGGGTGTTAATTTAGAACCCTGATTATAAGTGTTTTATGAGCTGCTTAAATAAAGAAAACCTTCACAGAATCTCCTCAGAAACAGAAACATAATCAGGATATTGACTTAACCTCGTCAGCATTTATACTGTACAATATTGTGTGATAAACGGGATTCTTTGACTTTTATTCAGATCTTATAAAGGCATCATGTTTTTTAACTGGATCTGTGCAACTGAGGATTTTTTTCACGTGAATAGTTTGTTTTAAACAAGTTTATTAAATAACAATATATAACAAACATATACACAAACACACACGCACACACACACACACTCCTCATGATTCTCACCTGGAGAGAGTTTGATCAGCCGGTTGTTCAGGCCGCCGTCTCCGTCCACGATGTAGATTTCTCCGGAGCTGTGGATGAAGATCTCTGCCGGCTGGTCGAACTGCAGCGGACTGAGAGAAGATCCGGCTTTCCCGGGGGAACCCAGAACCGGCAGGAGCTTCCCGTCCGGAGAATACTGCTTCACCGTGTGCCCGAACGGCCCTGCACACAAGAGAGTCCGTCAACTTCACTCACACACACACACACACACACACACACACACACACACACACACACACACACACACACGCGTGCCCGAACGGCCCTGCACACAAGAGAGTCCGTCAACTTCACACACACACACACACACACACACACACACACACACACACACACACACGTGTGCCCGAACGGCCCTGCACACAAGAGAGTCAGCTGCACTTACAGCGCTTTTACTATACGTTTATATTCTAATAAATAGTAATATTAGTAGTGGATGCGCTGCTTTTGAACACTTTTCCTGAGTCATGCAGTGTTAATGTGTGTTTAGCGCATGATAATAGCAGAACTCCTGATCTGAGAGGAATATGCTCTATAAGGCCTTTCTGTTTCCATTAAAAATATAAAGCAATTAAAAATACTATTTGGCCAGTGGAAAAGATTGAGAAAAACTTTCTCTGAAATGTATTTTATAGTATTTTATTTTTTAATATTAATATTTATTGGAAAAAAATATGTATTTTCTCTCTCAGAGAAGCTGCGACAGTGGAGAGCGAGAGAGGAACAGGTCTGGACATGTGTTGTGTGTGTTAGTTTTATTATACACTCACCTAAAGGATTGTTAGGAACACCTGTTCAATTTCTCATTAATGCAATTATCTAATCAACCAATCACATGGCAGTTGCTTCAATGCATTTAGGGGTATGGTCCTGGTCAAGACAATCTCCTGAACTCCAAACTGAATGTCAGAATGGGAAAGAAAGGTGATTTAAGCAATTTTGAGCGTGGCATGGTTGTTGGTGCCAGACGGGCCGGTCTGAGTATTTCACAATCTGCTCAGTTACTGGGATTTTCACGCACAACCATTTCTAGGGTTTACAAAGAATGGTGTGAAAAGGGAAAAACATCCAGTATGCGGCAGTCCTGTGGGCGAAAATGCCTTGTTGATGCTAGAGGTCAGAGGAGAATGGGCCGACTGATTCAAGCTGATAGAAGAGCAACTTTGACTGAAATAACCACTCGTTACAACCGAGGTATGCAGCAAAGCATATGTGAAGCCACAACACGCACAACCTTGAGGCGGATGGGCTACAACAGCAGAAGACCCCACCGGGTACCACTCATCTCCACTACAAATAGGAAAAAGAGGCTACAATTTTTGGTGAGCCTCTACAAAAAGAGGCTCACCAAAATTGGACAGTTGAAGACTGGAAAAATGTTGCCTGGTCTGATGAGTCTCGATTTCTGTTGAGACATTCAGATGGAAGAGTCAGAATTTGGCGTCGAGTCGTCTCTTCACAGGCGTTTAGTCGTCTCTTCACAGGCGTCGAATCGTCTCTTCACAGGCGTTTAGTCGTCTCTTCACAGGCGTTTAGTCGTCTCTTCACAGGCGTTTAGTCGTGTCTTCACAGGCGTTTAGTCGTCTCTTCACAGGCGTTTAGTCGTCTCTTCACAGGCGTTTAGTCGTCTCTTCACAGGCGTTTAGTCGTCTCTTCACAGGCGTTTAGTCGTGTCTTCACAGGCGTCGAATCGTCTCTTCACAGGCGTCTAGTCGTCTCTTCACAGGCGTTTAGTCGTCTCTTCACAGGCGTTTAGTCGTCTCTTCACAGGCGTTTAGTCGTCTCTTCACAGGCGTTTAGTCGTCTCTTCACAGGCGTCGAGTCGTCTCTTCACAGGCGTTTAGTCGTCTCTTCACAGGCGTTTAGTCGTCTCTTCACAGGCGTTTAGTCGTCTCTTCACAGGCGTTTAGTCGTCTCTTCACAGGCGTTTAGTCGTCTCTTCACAGGCGTTTAGTCGTCTCTTCACAGGCGTCGAGTCGTCTCTTCACAGGCGTTTAGTCGTGTCTTCACAGGCGTTTAGTCGTCTCTTCACAGGCGTTTAGTCGTGTCTTCACAGGCGTTTAGTCGTCTCTTCACAGGCGTTTAGTCGTCTCTTCACAGGCGTCGAATCGTCTCTTCACAGGCGTCTAGTCGTCTCTTCACAGGCGTTTAGTCGTCTCTTCACAGGCGTTTAGTCGTCTCTTCACAGGCGTTTAGTCGTCTCTTCACAGGCGTCGAGTCGTCTCTTCACAGGCGTTTAGTCGTGTCTTCACAGGCGTTTAGTCGTCTCTTGACAGGCGTTTAGTCGTGTCTTCACAGGCGTAAATGATTGTGTTTTTGTAGGAGAAGGCGATGGGAAACAGACCCAGTGAGATGATGGACAGAGAGAAGGCCTATATCCCTGAACTCCAGATCAGCTTCATGGAGCACATCGCCATGCCTATATACAAGTCAGTGTCGATGCTTATTCACTTTAACCACTGTTTACAGCCTTCTATAACTAATTCCATTTTGTCTTATAATATTACCAAGCATATATATTGAAAATAGCAGAGGGCCTAATACAGAGCCTTGCTGCACTCCATAATTTACTGACATTATCTTAGATTTTTCCCGACTGTGATTATTTTTCCAGTAATCACAGACGGCAACATAGTAGCTGTGTCCCAATGTGAAGGCTGCGTCCTCCGAAGGCCGCATTTGAAGGCCGATTGCGTCACAGCGGCGCGACGAAGGCTGTCCCAATTCAAAGGCTGCATCTTGGAAGGACGCATTTGAAGGCCGATTGCATCACCGCGGCGCGATGAATAGGGATGGGAATTGATAAGATTTTATCAATATCAATGCCACTAACGATTCTGCTTATCGATCCAATTCTTTAACGATTCTCTTATCGATTCCTGATAGCACTGTGAGGGAAAAAGTAGTCTTTTTCGGGGGAAAAAACAAGTTGTTTTATTTGTTTTAAAGCTTACACTTGACTAAGCAAACTGTACTTTTTATGTAATAAATGGAACCTTATTGTAAAGTGTTACCGATTAGTTATACACCGATTAAACGCCCCGTGAGTTCAGTGTTGGACAGATCAGTTGTTTTAACCATTCATTAAAACGAATCGGTTCAAATGAGTAATTAGTTCGCGAATTGGACGTGTCATTATCGGACGTGTGCTCGTTGTGTGATTATCCCGGCAGTTGGGACATCCCACAAGATGTGTGTCATCACAGAAAACATTTCATCACTGGATCGTTTTTTTCGTTTATTTGAAGTGTGATTATGTCAGCTGAATGTGCGGAACACTTTTCAGAGAAGATAAGGCAACGTATTTTAGCACAATTCACACCCAGCGGCAATTCAGGAAAAACAAATCTCCGAATGCTCCACAAAAAACTTTAGTCTCCCTACCTTACCATCGTGTCGTTTATTTTGATTAATATGTGCGAGGGAGAGAGGAAGACAGCGCTTAGTTTTGAGACAGTAAAGCCTACTTTCGCCTTGCTCCGAAGAGAGAGAGTGCGTGCGCGCGACCGGGGCTCTCTCGCTCTCTCTCTCTCTCTCTCTTTCTGCTCGATCAGTTTAACATGCGCCCTGTCACAAGCGCAGCGGTTCATCTACATTACCAGAGAGAGACAATTTTACTCACTGATCAAATAAGACTTTGCAGGACAAAGATTAGCTTTGGACGCGGTGCTATGGTGCTTGATAAAGGACAAAAGGGACAGAGCAGGAGCATCGATAAGAGGACTCGTTAACGTCGAGGGCATACAATATCGATGGATCGTAAAATTTAGAACCGGTTCTCGAGTGGAACCGGTTTTCGATTCCCATCCCTAGCGATGAAGGCTGTCCCAATTCAATTCCGCATCCTTCGAAGGCCGTATTCGAAGGCCGGTTGCGTCATTGCGGCGTGACGAAGGCTACCCTGATTCAAAAGCGACGCCAAATGCACCCTTCGTTTCCCCGTGAAAGGAAGGATACATAAATGGACACTTAGTGGCCTATCCTACCCTGATCCTACCCCATAATTCATTGCGCGCCGGTGACGACAGCATTTTTGGTGCAGCATTTGGTGTGTAGCCTACAGTTCAAATTCAAATGTTGGTGTTCAACTATGCCTTTTAAAACCGTTCATTTTTCGTTTTTCAATTACGGGTTAAAAAAATTAAAAACGAATGGATGCAAATTTACACAGAGTCACAGACTATTAAACTAAAGATAGTTTAGTGATAGTTTTTTAGATTAAAGTCTTTGATTTTACTAGTATTTTGATTGACTATCAAACCTTTCAACAAATACATTATTTTAAATATTTAATAATATAAGGTAGCCTACTTTTGCGTCCATTTGTTTTTCTTTTTTTTAACCCGTAATTGAAAAACTAAAAATGAAAGGTTGTTGTATTTTTAAAAGCCAAAGTTGAACACCAAAATTTGAACTGTAGGCTACACAAATGCTGCGCAAAAAAAGAAGACTTTTTGCCCCTTTATTAAACATTTAAAATATTCACAAATTACTATGGGACAAATGTCGATTTTACTGGTTTTCTAAGGCCAGATTAGAACCTGGAAATTATATTTTTCCCGCAATGCTGAATGAGAAGAGCCATGTCTCTGGAACCATGATTTATAGGCTAATGATAATAAATGTGTCTGAATAAATAACGAGGCATTTTAATTGTTCGTTTAAAAGTGAACATTTCAAGCTTTAGGCAAGGTATATTTTGTTTCAGTTCATTTATGAGACGCGCTCCAGTTCACGGAGATCATGAAAGCGCGACTGATTGTTTTATTTTATTTTACAAAAGCACAACGTTTTCTTGTTATGTGAGTTTGGACAAATAAAAGTAGTTGCGAATGATGTATTATTCTTTTCTGTATGACCAGAAATTATAGAGTATTTTTTAAGTTGTTTCCACTGTTGATGGGAAAATGCAAGTGTTCGCGGCCGCGCCTCCGTGCCGTGCAGTGCGCGCTCACACTCCCACACACATTTGCGTCAAAATCTTGTGTTTATTTGTGATAATCTTAGCCCTGTATTATGACAGACATTTGACAAATTTCTTTGTTCCTTTTTTGGATAAAACCGCCTTCTAAATATGTAGTCTAAATGTAGGCTAATAATAATAATATTATTATCATTTGCGTTGAGTTCACTGAAGACAGTAATAATCATAAAATAATTTA